CGCGGCACGATGCAACGCAACGTGTAAAAAGACAGTATAAGTCATTATAATCCATTATTATGTCCCCACTGGATGCAACGAATGCCTCGTTTATAATGGGTTTTCATGTTTTTGAATCATCTCTCCGGCCTGACAGGGCATCATCACAATATGGTGAGGGGCGTAACATTTCCGTCACACGCTTGAGGTATTCGGCCAATCATAACGCACTGGATAGCTGGCCAATCAGAGCACACCTTGCTTTTCAGACCAATGAGCTTTGTAAAAATCGACGTGTTTCAGAAAGGCGGGGCATAGAGGAGAAACAATAATGTACAGTATGTGGAACATAATGTGTTTTTTTAACCTTAAACCGCATAAACACATTTCATTACACCAAATACACAAAATACTGTTCTTTTTAGCAACATCATATGACCCCTTTAATAGAAAAAAATTTAACTATAAAAAAACATCATATGACCCCTTTAATGATTTAGGCTGAGAAGGGTAGAAAAAGGGTAGATGTTACCTCAGGCTGAGGTGTGAGCAGTGGTGCAGTTGGCGGCAATTCATTCATATTCGACATGCTGGGTTCAGGCCCAGGAGGAGCACTGCTCATTACTGGTGTATAGTTCTGAGGACACACAGTATCTTGTTAAAAAAAATCTTCTTAAAATAAGTAAGTTCATTTGTGTGGATACTTCAATGCAAGCAACTTTGAATTTGAAAGACAGTAACGATGAATAAATCATATGTAGTAAATGTATGTTATTAATAAATAAAAAAATAGAAAGACAAATATTAGTAGAATTGCAATTGTTTTATGCAAAAACACTTAATGGGTAGTTCACCCAAAAATGAAAATACTGTCTTTACTCACCCTCAAGTTGTTCCAAACCTGTATGAGTTTCTTTCATTGGTTCAACACAAAAATAATATTTTGATAGTTGACAGTAGCCATTGACTCCCATAGTATTCTTTTCCATACTATAGAAGTCGGTGACTACTGTCAGTTGTTTGCTAACCAACATAGTTCAAAATATCTTCTTTTGTGTTCAGTTTTGTGTTGTGGAATAACTTGTGGGTGAACAAATGTAAGAATCGTCAATCTCTTTAACTTTGTGTTGCCCCTTTCAGAGCAATTAATGCATTTTAATTTCATTTTATCCTTTACATATTTGCTTGCTATCTTTGATTACAAATAAGCACATAGAAATATAAACCCACAGGATGAAAAGCAAAGAGATTTGCAAAACATTTTGGATGTACCACAGGTGCAGATGGGTTGTAGTGGGTTGGAGGGGCATTCCACTGGGGCGGCTGAGCAGGGGGATGTCCAGGTCCAAAGGCAGGAGGATAGACAGGGTTTTGATACTCAGGATAAAAGCCCTTAAAAAGAGAAAATGCACAAAATTGAATTCTGTTTTGTTTTTTACAGTTAAACTTAAATAAATAAACTCTGTACTGGTTTATTAAGTTTTACATGTCTATATATGTCCACCAGCTAAAATCCAAACCAGAATTCATGTTCGTCTTGGGAACCGTGCACACATAACATGTTTAGACCTTTCCACTGCTTGCTTTTATCTAGTTTTTATATGTAAACATACATTAGATGGACGCCTTTGTGAGTTGCTCTCGCATCTAGCACCGTTTACAGCAACTCACGCATGACATAGTGTTCCAAAATCATGGCGCTCGAATTAACTCTGTATTATTTTCCCATTCTGCTGCACTAGAGCTATTTAAGCAATTTGGAATTTGTATTCAAAAGTTTTGAAAGTTGCTGCCACCTTAGAATGAACTTCTTGTGTTGTAACATTCCTTATTTGTCACTTTGGATAGAAGGATCTGTGGTAAATCTCTATGTATGTAAACTTACAGGGTTGGGAGGAACAGCAGGTTGTCCGCTCGACTCTGGTGGATAAGGATAGTGAATCTGACCTTGATCTGGATGAGGCAGATAACCAGCGATGTAGCCCTTTAGTCAGAAACAACAAACCATTAATATTACTTACAATGTACACCAGCTACAATCACTAGATTATTCTAATGTCGCTTAGCATGGTTCTGTCACAAAGAGATTAGAAAGTGTTTTTTTTTTTGTTATGTATTGATTTTGTTTGCCTTTTTTTGTTTACAGGATAGTGGAGAATGGACAGGAAAGTGTAGGGAGAGAGACAGGCTCTTCACATTTATTTTACCTGGCCAGTGTCTCCAGGACCTACAGGATCAGACATAGTGTTGCTGCAAGGTATAGACACTGGTACGGTGTTGGGCTGCCCTGTGTTTGTGTCTGATTTAGTGGACCGGCACTTTTTGCAGATTCTCTTTCTGCAGCAGAAGCAGATTCCACCAGGAATGCCGAGCAGCAGCAGAGCTATAAGACCTTTATTGGCGGCAGACTCATGATGATCTACATAGATATTTGAAGAGACAAGAGAAGAACAGACATCAAGAGATGTATCAATGCATGTGGTGACCCAGATCTCTAAAATAAAATCAGCAAGACACAGCCATACAAACAAACATTTTATGTGAATATACACTACCATTCAAATGTTTGGGGTCGGTAAGATTTTTTTCTTGTTTTTCAAGTCATCTCTTACATTCACCAAGGCTGCATTTTTTTAAATATAAAATACAGCCATTACACCAGCTTTCAGTGTCATGTGATTCTTCATAAATCATTCTAATATGCTGATTTGATACTGATTTGAAAGATTTCTTATTATCACTGCTAAATATTTTTTGTGGAAAGCGTGATACATTTTTTCAGCATTCTTTGGTAGAAAAGCAGCTTTTTGTTTGTCAGAACAGCATTTATTTGAAATAGAAAGCTTTTAAAACATTATAAATGTGTTTTGATTAATTGAAAGTCACTTTTGATCAATTTAACGCATCCTTGCTGAATAAATGTGTTGATTTTTTTTTTTTTTGAATGTGTGAAAAAATAAGTATTTTCTTACCCACTAGTATCATTGTATTGTTTGAGACGAGTCTTCCTTTATGATCGGTGAGCCTGTATCTGCCTATATCTGATGTATTTACATTGAGAATCTGAATCTTTTCACTGGTCACTTTAAGCCGGCTGATGTAGTCTGGGTGGTTCCGTCCCACAGGAACTCCATTCTCCACCAGGAGGAGAGATGAATTATTACTGTAAAAGTGAAGTATGGCATCACTCTGCTTGAGTCCTGCCAGAGATATGGTCAGAGTTTCACCTGCGATACGATCAATGACTTCTCTGTTGGCTGTAAAAGAGAGAATGACAGATAGTGAGGATATGTGGACAATCACAGAGATATTATTCTGAGAAGGAGGTTTAAATTACTACTCACTCTTGACCTTCACTATATAACTGCTGATGGTTGAACCAAAGTGATTGAGCAGGGTGTAGCTTCCCTCATCGTCAAACGTAACACGTTGGATTCTGAATGTCCAGCCCTTACCGACGCTGCTCACGTGGCCTTTGCTGGGGTTACTTGGCCGGAAAGAAATGGTTTTGTGATCCCAGATAGTAAATTGTTCACTCTCATCAGCACTAACAAACTCCAACCTCTGTGTCCTCTCAGGAAGATCCAGAGTCAACTGGTGGCCATGGAATACAAGCCTCTGAGGTATTGCAGAGACTGACACTGGGGGAGAATTTTTTTTTTAGAATGGCAAGATGAGAAGAAGTTCTTTTGAACTGCTGGCAGTTAGCATCATGTGTAGGCTGTTTAATTGACTTAACACATGATTCAACTTGTCCTGTTATTCTTGTGTATGTTCAGTATGGTTAATAAGCAAATGTTGTAATACCTGCACAAATAGCAGTTGAAAGGAGGGTCCAAACACTCAGCATCTGTCTGGGAAAAGATCTATCAGTATTGCAGATGTAACCTGTTTGTTCAGAGTATCCCCACACTCTAAAAACATTGGGTTTAAAAAAAAATACTATTTGAGTTGATTTTAGCCCAGCGGAATATAGGACAGAACACATGTTGGCATATGCCTGCAATCAGAATTATGCATTGTGTAAACATCTTGTTCAGCGTATCATTTATTTTTTTCTGTGTGCATCCAAACAAAAGTAATACTGGCTGATATTAAACATAAAGCCTACCGTATCATATTTCATACATGCATTTCTAAGGTCTCTAAATGATCAGCATGATCAAAATTTTGCAGAAAAACCTGTTGTACACAATCTGTTACATACCTTCTGTCATCTGATGGATAGTTCATACTTTTTTGCAAGTAAAAAGCCTTTTAGTATAATTCTAAAAATGTCCACCTTCAGGGTGTGGTACTTGTATACATCTTTACTGATTTTTATAAAGTAAACATATGAATAACTTTTATATTGTTTGTAATGTTTCAAGACGAACACTTACTGGACTGAAGCAACTTGATTATCCACATAATTTTTTAGAAGAATCACGTTAAAATGTATCAAATATGATACATCAGGCTTTTGAGGAATGTTTATTTGTACATCTCTCAATCATCATTGTATTGCACTGTATTATGTTTTGCCCCCACAATAAACACTACAGAGCTTTGATCATAAAACTTAGCATTTAAATATCATCTTACTAAGACCTATTATTGGAAGATATAATATAGTGACAAGTTACATTTATATGCATTTTATGCAAGTAGTCTGTTGTGCTATTATAAAAATCACACTGATTTATCTTACAATCTATCAGAATTTCATCATATTTTGTTCCCATAAAAACAAAAATATCTGCACCAAATTGCAGATTATTGCTCTGTTTGGGCCTCTGGATAAAATCAATGTTTTTTTCCTCCTCAAGTGTGAGCCTCAATATTCTATAATATGATACATAACATAAAAACATACAACATTTTCTTTAAATATATTCTTTTATCCTATATTTTGTCTAAAGGCCAATTCACACCGCACCGACAAACGCCAACAGACACGTTAGCCGCTGGATTTAGAATTTTATGAAAAATAACTGTCATGTTCACACTGCCCCAACAGACACCAACAGACTTCAGGTCAGGGAGAGTTAACTAGGGGGAAAAATGGATGATCTTGTAACAACAATCAAAATGATACTGTTATTAATGTCTTTGGTAATATTGCAAGGCAGTTTTATTATAACAATAATATATTGTCAAATAAATTTCCGTTGTGAAATTTCCCAAGCGCTGTAGCGATCGATCTGATCGCATTCCCCCTCGCGTTGCGGTTGGTATACTCGGCCACACCCACCGCATAAAGCTCTGGCCCCCTCCCAAAGATCCAAAAACTGTTCCTCTTTCTGGTTTGTCCAGAAACCTGCCATTTTTAAAGTTATTTTCCTAAGCGCGCCCAGCACCTACTTGCAGTCTTGCCTCATTGTCTGGCAACGGTTCGTGGCCAGGTCAGATTACGTCAGAGTTAGTTGGAAAATCATATCACACTGCTCAGACATTCCACGACCCAACAAACGCCGATAAAACATTAAAACCAACTCCGACCAACGCCAACAAACGCCGACAGGGGTAACACACTGATCCAACAAACTCCGACAGACTAGTCTGTTGGCGTTTGTCGGTGCGGTGTGAATTGGCATTAAAGGACATATCATCTATATACGTATTTATACTATACAGGTGCATCTCAATAAAGTAGAATGTGGAAAAGTTCATTTATTTCAGTAATTCAACTCAAATTGTGAAACTCGTGTATTAAATAAATTCAATGCACACATGTCACCATATTCTAATTTGTTGAGATAGTGAATTGGTGGGTTTTTGTTAAATGTGAGCCAAAATCATCACAATTAAAAGAACCAAAGACTTAAACTACTTCAGTCTGTGTGCACTGAATTTATTTAATACACGAGTTTCACAATTTGAGTTGAATTACTGAAATAAATGAACTTTTCCACGGCATTCTAATTTATTGAGATGCACCTGTATATATATTTATATAGATGATATATGTCAAAAACAGATTAGTCATTTGTGAAAGATTCAAGATCAAGTGTTAAACCACTCAGGCAATCCACAAAACTCATAACTTCTTCAAAATGCACACCGACAGCATTCTTCTGCAAGTTAGTCCCCCACTGGTTCAGTTGCAATTCATGCTTATGCGATCTTTAAGAAACGTTTAAGTGTAGTACAGTTTATACAGTGTTTATTAATGAAATAGCCTAGACACAGGATGTTTTAGTACACTGGAACGCCCACACAAATGCTCTGCTTTCCTGAAGCGCGTTAGATTAACTTTAAATGATTGGGCCAGATCCTCATTATGTTACGCGCGAATGCACGAAACAATTAACTTTAGATGTAGTAATGCCGAGAAGCCCAATAAATGAAGGAAGAAGAAAAAACAGTCTATAATTTTAAATTAAACAATGTACAAAACAAATGAAGAAAAAAAACGTCGACCAAACAGCAGTGGAAAATGTTTATCAACAACTATAACGCAATGTTTGACAAAATAGTAATCTTAGTTAGGCGCCTGTTAAAAATAGTAGGATGACTGTCAACAAAAAACGCTCACGCGCCTCTTGCATGTGGATTATAGTTACTTTTATTGTAAAGCGAAAGGAGAAAACGGACGTATTGGGATGTAAAACATCGTTTACAGAAAAACAACTACTTTGTATAAGGAAAACAATCGCTTTAAATCGCGTAAAGCTTGCGTTATTTTCGCAATTTTAACAAAGATAATATTCTTCACACAGAAAGATCATAGCATAGGCTACTCACAGTTTCATTAATATGGTGGATGTTTCCGTTGAAAATTGAGGATTTAGCCGTGTAACAGAGCTGTAAATCACCATCGGTAGGAGTATCCTGTGGGAATCTGGTAGAGTTTAACTCAGCCCCTCTGCAGTCGTGCGAATAAACCGCCCCGGGCGCATTCCGCTCCTTTTGTCTTCACCGATTTGAATGCGATGAGGGATTAATGCTGTTGTGAGGATTGATGTGTGTGTGTAGGTGTGGACTGAGTATTTGAAAGAATACATATGGCAAGCGTAGTCTGCTCATCTCTGCTTGTGAGAAATATGATCCATACCTTAAATGTCGAAGAGCAGAACCTTACAACCTTGTTCCCTAAATGTGTGGTAGGTGGCCTATTTGATATTTAATAACTGGCAATTTCCCTTCATTACCTTACCGTGTTAAAATAGTTGACTATTTGTTTTCTTGTGGAACGCTGATTGAGCTTTAGAATATTTTTGGAATTTATCATTTAAAAGTAGATTTAACAGCCTGGCTTTAACACAACAATTTGTTGTTGATTTAATAATTTTAAAATAAATACAGGGGTAGGGACTGCAGATGAAAATTAGCCTGAATGGCTAAATCTGGCACATTTACATAGTAGACTTGTTTTACTCATGTTAATTAATGTGTATTGTCCCTTTTAAATAAAATAAAAACAAACAAAAAAAAAAAACAGAGTCATCACACTAATTAATTAATTTTATTCTACAAACCTAATTCATATTCCCAATTATAGAGGAGACTGGGACTGGATCATCTATTTATGCTAGTGCTCCTGCCTTCAGCTGTTCCTTCTATATTTTCTGCAACAGCTATTGGTCTCCATTCATAGACCCTAGAGGCCTGGCAAGTCTGCATAAAGAAACGCAACAGGATACATATGTCAGAGGCGCGGCTAAAGGACCCCACCCATCCCAGCATGCATCTGTCTCAGTCCTATGGTCTCAGTGCAATGCTCATAAGTAGCCTACTTTGTGGGAGGGATGTATAGGCCTTGTTGTTGGAATACACAAAAAAAAAAGTTACAAATTAAAACATAAAATAAATATTTTTTCTCGCAATTCTGAGTTTCTCACAGTTCTGACGTTTTTCTTGTGACTTCTCAGAATTGCAAGAAATGCAGAATTGCGAGATGTTAACTTGCAGTTGCAAAAAGAAAAGTCAGAATTGTGAGATAAAAAAGTTGCTATTAGCTTTTGCATTGTTTTGCGAAATGTAAACCATAAAAAAAGAATTGCTAGATGCAACTTCAGAAAGTTGAGGAAAATAAACTTAGAATTTAGAATTAAGAGAGATATAAACTGGTAATTGTGAGAAAGGCAGAATTGTGAGATAGGCCTATATGAACTTAGAATTGTGAGGAAAAAAAGTCAGAATTGCAAAATATAAACTCAGAATTGCAAGATGTAAACTCGGAATTGCGAGAGCCAAAGGGCTGAATTGTGAGATAAGAAGTCACAATTATATTTATTTATTTACCGTTTGTTTGCTTGTTATTCCATGAAGGAAACTTCCCCAGTCTTTGCTTCTGAATACAGTTTGAAAATGAAAACTACTGCTTCTGTGATTTTACTGAATATAACTTTGATTATTGTCTTTGGAAAATATGGACTCTGGTCCTTCATTATTTTGCTGACATACAGTTGTAATTTAGATCACTTGTGAATTGATGTTGCCAGGCTGACCCACCATGGATTTCACAACAACCCTTTATATTTCACATAACTTTTAGTCTTAAAGGAAAGACAGAAAAATCGATGGTAGTTCTGCCTTCACAAATATTATCTGTCTCACTAAATGTTAAAGATTTTTGTACACGAGTCCCTAACTTTCACTATTTACCTTCCATGTGGTCCTCCAGTCTGTAGTGCTGTATTCAGGTGTGGTGAGTTGCCTGTGGCAACTGAATGCAGATAGTGAGAGCTCATGAGGCTGCTGTGATTCTTTATTCATGCCACCAGAGATTACCAGTCAGCTCCTCTGAGGAACAGGTGACTAAAACATACCTGTCTCTTCCTCATGCTCCGTGTTGTTATACTGAGCATGGTCACATTCTTGCTCTCAACTATTATAACTGGGGCAGACATCCTCCTCACTTTCAAAATGTCTGTGTTTCTTTTATGTTTTATGGTGGGTTGGGGTGCACAAACAGACATTTTTATAGCTCTACAAAACCATAGTGTTTACACTTTTTGGGGGTTACATATTCATTGCTCCTCCGTTTATCATTTAATAACAGAACGGGATTATCCCTCTTTTTTTATATAAAAATAATTCAGTATTTTATACTATTATGCTAGTAAATAAAGCCAAAAATCCAGCTCTTCACACTCCTGCAGCTCTGTTGTCTGCTCACTTCCATTCTGACGGTCTTATCGGCACTGCTGAGGCTGACTGTCAGATGAACATCTTGAATTTAAAGGATCATACCAATGTAGTCATACCAGCTGAGAGCATGTAATTGGCCACAGTAAAGTTATTAAACTAAAGAGTACTTTACTGATTTGATTTGTGTCATTCTCTCTCTCTCTCTCTCTCTCTCTCTCTCTCTCTCTCTATCTGTACTGAACAAAATCTGAATTTACCATTCCAATCATATATTTAAATGTATTATAATTTTTATATTATATATTAAAATTAAAAGTATTAGCCTACATATTAAAATATATTATTTCCCTTGATTTGTGATTTACTCTATCTTTTTCCAAAATAGAAGGGAAAAAATACAGTATCTGATGCATTAATAGCCAATAATGTAAATAGAAATGGATTACTATGATTTAGCCTACTTTGTGCAATCTTACATTTGCCATTGCAGATATTATTTTTATGATCTCTTAATTTTATTGCAATTGTATTAAAGGAGGATTGCTTCTTACATAATTGCATTGACATTTATCAAATCTATTCATTTCACTATTTATTTCATTGCAATGAAGTTGTCAAATAAATACTTTCACCATTTCTGGCATGACTTTTTTCCTCTACTGGCACTAAATGATGCGTGTTATTTGAAGCTCTTGGGTTGTGTGCTGTAGCAGGTCTAACCTCCTGAGACCCTGTGACCTCATATGAGGACATTATATTAGAGTGAATTTCTCTGAGACTATACATGCCACAGTTTTAAGTCTGGATGTCCTGTACAGAGCACATTCAGGGCTTTTCAGAGATACTAAATGTTTGGATGTTTCACTATGACCACTCCCTCTCCTTGGTCTTCAAATAAGTCTGATATTAATTTAGTGACACTCTTATGGAAATATGATAATATTTTGTAATTATCATTTAAATCTGTCAAATTTTTAAACTGTGTCATAAATCAACATCTCAGGAAAATGTTATGGGGTTTCAAATCAAAATATGACTTTCTGTTACGAAACAGGATGTTGATTTCATATGTTGCCCCAAAAACACATTAATATGCATATTAGATTTAGTTAATAGATACATTGTATATAATGAGAAAACCCGTTTATGGCCATTTTACACACATTTTGCAGAAAGAAAAATGGTATATCAAATCATTCTGTTATAACATAGTTGAGAATCATCTTTATACAAAGTTTGGTTAAAAAAAAAATCCTGAAAAATAAAAATGTATTGGTGATTTAAAAAATCTATTGTTTTTGCCTATGCATGTTCATTCATGTCTTTTTTTTTTTTTTTATTGAGTCCCAAAGTCGTCTACCGAGGACATAGCAAAACTTACAAACATTTTTTTTTTACTTTTTTTTTATGCTCTAAACAATGTAAAGACATGAAAAAAAAAATTTTTTCCTACAAATCTTTTCTCGGGTCTTAAGAGGCTAATTCAGTGGCTGAATCACATGGCAATGACTGGATCAGGAGTAATGAGAGGCCATGAGCTCAAAGATCTGCTGTTTACATCGCACAGCTTCAGAGTACAGCCGACCATGAGATCAAATTGTGGATAATTTTTTTTTTTCACACTGATCATCTTGGATTTATCGATCCTTGTCTCTCATATACGGTAAGATCGGCAGATTAACGCGCATTTTAATTAAACCAGTTTAGAAAACAGCACATAAATTCTAAATACCGCTAATATTATATAAAGCTAAGTGATTCAGATGCAACTCGATGGCGTTTTTTCAGTTCGCATTGATGTTCTATTTATGTCGTCGGGTTTTGTTTATGTTGCTACGCCATGCTTCTGCAGTAACGGGACACTGCCGCTATTGCACTCAGGCACTGCCCACCAGACAGCATTAGGCTAAGTGCTCTCCGACAGACTCCAACCATTCCCTTGAAGCCACATCACATTTTCATTAAATATGTAAAATTATTACTCTAAATACTTTTAGGTTCCATTACGCTGTGCCGAAAGACATTTAATGTGTCTCTTTGCATAGCTTTGCTTGTCTGGTAAACGCGAGAAAATTCCTTTGCTGCAACACAGCTGTAAATGTATTCAGTGTTACATTTATAGCCTAATTATTGTTTATAAAAGTGTAACTGTTTAAATAAATGATTTTTCAATGTTATTTTTCAAAATTATTTTTCAGATTCCATAGGTTTTTAGCATTTAGTATAGTGTTAGATTTTTATTCCTCAAATAATAGTCTTATTCCTAAAACCAACCATTGTTTACCCCTGTTATTATTATAATTATTAAATATATGATATGTGGCAAGATATGTGTCTGAGGTGAGGACAATATCCACCTAAAAGAGGGAGGGTAGCAATCATTGTAATAGTGATACTTGCCTGTTTTCACAGTAATGCCATACAAGAACCATTTTGGTTCTCCCCAAAGAACCTTTCAGTGAACTGTTCTTAAGAGAACCATGCTTTTCTGAACATTTTATTAATCTAAAAAACTTTTTTTTTCCCCTTTATAAAGAATCTTTTGAATCTCAATTCATCATTTTTGAATCTCAATGAAAAGATTCCATGGATGTTAAAGGTTCTTCATGGAACCATCAATGCCAATAAAGAACCTTTATTTTTAAGACTGTAGTGACAAATGTTATGGTGCGGTCACATTAGCCATTGTTCTGTGAAGTTTTGCAGGCAAAATGGAGTCATTCCAATAGAAATCTGTGCAGTCGGGAATTTTGCATAAGGGCGAAAAAGATTTAGCAGATTTTGCTCATTTTCAAGTTGGTCACTTGAATTCACCACACTGACCAATGGAGTTCTGTGTGAGCTGTGCTTTATTCATCTCCAGGCCGTTGACAAGTGACTGAACCTTTTTCCCTCTCAGAATATCGATGAAATATCACTAATATAGGGAT